TTCGCGGTTGATATGACAAAAAAAAAAAGTTTCTTTAACGATATATGCCACATATTAACTAGAAAACATTACAAAACCATTAACAATAGGTAAAAGTCGTAAAAGAATATTATATCGACGCCGTTATTTCATTAGAGCACTTATTTTAACGCTACCTCTTTAGCTTTAAGTAGTAGTTATAAAATGTAATGACTGAGGCCATTGTACATATCATAATTATAAATAAATTATACAGCATCTAATCATAGCTGAATAGCTATTTTGATTTGAAAAATTGCAAGAATTATTTTATGTAAAATAATATTAAAATCTATATACACAGTTGCTTACACTGAGTAAAATATATTATCAAAGTCAAAGCCATCTTTTCATTGACGATCTATTATGAAAAAAAAAATTCCCCAATAAAACCTATACACAAATTTTGTGAGGTGCTTTTCTAAAAGTTGATGTTAAAAATACTTAGTGTCAGAAAAAACTCTGTTTAGTCTGTATTATATGTGATCTGTAAGACGATTAATTGTGAAAATAGTAGACACATCTTTTACTGTATCTATTTGTCAAGAATATATATTTTTTTTCTTTTTGGTAACTTTTTCTTTTTGTACAATCATAAATTCACAAACTCGTGCGTCCTATCCACCCACTTTAAGGATTTCTTTTAGATTTATTTCACAATTTTTAGCTATAACAACGGGAGTGGTCGCCTATGGATAAGCCGACATTTATAAATTGTGTGATAGTAAGAGACAATAAAAAAAATATAAAGTTATTTTCTCATAAAAATATTTCTACTCTCTTATTTGCAGTAATTTTGTTTTAATTATTGCAGAGGATTAAAAAAAATTATCAATACAATAAAGATATGGAAAATACGGAATACTTCGTATCTATGCACCAGTAATGCCACGAAGTTTTAAACAAAATGCATTTAACTTCGAGATAATTAAATTTTTGTTTTTAAGAAAAACGATAAATTTAAAAACTTTTAGCATTAATTGGTTTAAATTTCAAATCACAATTTTTGGTAATTTATGAAAAATCATCAAGATTGAAAAATGCTCAGAAAAATTTTGATAGTACCTAATTTTCAGTTGTTAAATGCAAATTGATTCAATATAAAATTTTATCAAACGAAGTTATTTTTATATAAGAAATGTTTAATTAAAGTTTTTGATTAATTTATTTGTTCGAACAATGAAAAAATTTTTAAGATTAAACTGGCCCATTATTATTTGCAATGACATTTATTGGGAAAAAAATCTAATTCATGTAATCCAAAATAATTTATAAAAGATTTTTATTTTTATGGATAAAGTTCGGTGGGTTTATTGTGGAAAAATAGAGAGATCCGGGTGACTCTCGAAAACGCGTTTACACACATATTACGTATGCTCAAATAAACACAGTACAAAACACTACATCACGTCTCCAGATAACAATTTTACTATAAAATAATTTCTTATTATTACAAGAACATCTGCATTCAAAAAAAGTTATATTTCTTTTAATAGTGAATTTTATGATTTTATCTTTTCAGAATGGAGCAAATATTTTTATTATTTCTAAATAAAAAATATTTTAAACAGATGAAATTATAATAACATTCATGTTACATACTTTTTCATTGATAGAATTTACTATTTATGCACGAAAAGAATGAAAAATAAAATATTAGATTGAATAGTTTGAATTTTTCGTAAATAACCTACAGAATTCGTTTTCAAAAGATTCTTAGGTATGCATGGAAGTATATCTTATCTCCTTCCTGATGAATTCTTACTGTACATTATCTTACCTGGAAGACTTCATATCATATAATATCTTGTACTATGAGAATAAAGCATTTTTCAACGATATGCGAGAAAAATAGAGACAAAATACAACTTTACAATGTGTCGTTTCTCATCATTCGCGAGTATATGTTTCAATAATCGATAAAACACTCAGAGACAATTCTTTACTCATATCTTACCATATATGTATATAATAAATTTATAGTCTAACATAAATTGGTTTCAATTTTTAAAGAATGAAGAAATGTTGAAATAAAAAATGAAGAAAAGTAATATAAGCGGATAGTGAGTGTCAGAAAGCAGATTTAAAAAGCTAAAAAAAATATATAAACACAGTTATAAAATTTACATCAGTAACTTAATAAGAAATATGTTGGATTTATAAAAATATACTGCTGTTATTTTTAATGGGGAAAAAAAAGCTATGAGAATTTTTTTTTTATTTATATTCTTTTTCCATTTGTTGTTCAAAAAGTAAATATTTAAAAAAATTTTTATTAACGTCATTCGACCATAAAAAATGTTACAGATATTCATTTTTATTAATTAAATTAAGTGAAATTGATATTTTTTTAATTTGAAAATTTATCTATTTATTAAGTTTCCGATGAAAAAAGAGAAATTATAATTAAAATACGACTAGAGAATTTTATTTCATTTACAACTTTTTACTAACGCTTTTTTTTTCGTTTTAAATCAACAATTATTATCCTTTTAGGTAATAACTTTTTTCTTTTACTTTTTACAGATAATAAAAAAATGAATAAAATATTACTTCAGCGCTAACCTTGACTTACACATAAATTTATGGTCACCTTCTCCTAAATAATCCTTATCTCTCTCGACCGAATTAGAACTATCCAATAAATTCTTTTTTTGATCTCTATTTGATTAATCAATTTCAACGTTCTTTTAACGATGTTGAAAGATTATGATTATAGAAAAAAAAAAGACAATTCCCTTTCAATCTGCCTTAAAAAAAAAAAAATAAATTTGATTGTATGAATTTTGTGTTTAATTGTTCAATTTTGAAAGTATAGTTATACCTATAATGATGAGATTATACTATTTTAAAACTGTATAATATATTGTATTATTTTACATATTGTATGATAATACTATTTATTATTCTTAAAAGAAACTGCTTGTTATAATTATTCTTATTATGCAGTTATGAAACTGATATTCTGAAGGGAAAAATACCAAAGTTTAATCTCCACAGTCATACGTATTTTGACTGGAGCAAAACTTGGCTTCACTACAAGAAAAATTCCAAAATTAAAATAAAGTAAACTTAATTAATTACGGTCTATTTTCTTTTTTAATTAACGACCTATCAAGAATTACAGATATTAATTGATAAATGTCAACCAATACTTTAGCAGCCGTGTAAAGACATATTATTCTAATGTTTAATAATTTGTAAACAAACAACGTGATTTTTATCAACACAAGTAAGATAAGAATAAGGAAATTAATGGCGCCACCATTACTTTTGCTATGCTATAATAGCATGGGGTACTAGTTTTAGGATTACACTTGGTATTGCTGTGAGGATTATATCAGTTTTCTTACAGTAAAAATACGTATTTTTACTGTAGAGATACATGTTCAATAATATTTTGTATTCTTGAGGAAAAAAAAACTTTTTTTTTTTATTCCAGTACACTAAGGTAAAAGATATTCTTGAAGCTTTAGGTTAGATATGAAATCGAAATAATTAATTAAACTATTTAATCATGTTAAAGTTAGCTTTATTATTCGATTATACTATTAAAATAAAGTGTCATTACAATATTGTAACATACAAAAAAAAACATTTAATTTCATTTTTGTTCATGGCAAAAGTTACTATTTTCTGTTTTTATTATATAAAAATGTACTTGAATAATGCTAATCAACATTAAATCTAATTAATTAAATTAGATATTTTCTATTATTTTAAAAAGTCCTTTAGCTAAGCCGTATTACCTTAAATCAATAATTGAGATTGTTAAATTATATCTGTAAAAAAATATTTAAGGTTTTATCCTCGACTCTCGTAAGAAAAAATTGGCACTTGACTCTGATAAAAAAAAAACTATATAACTAAACAGGTGCAGTAGGTTCTCGCAAGGAATGGCAAAAATTCAAAATTTCGTTTGCAGATACGGTGAAAATTATTGTACATACTAAAAAAGAGTATCCCTATTCGGATGTTTTTGGCATCCTTGTATTTGACTCCGGAAGTAATTTTGCACGCGAGTTGGAATGTCCTACTTTTTTTCTGAGTATACAGCCTACTAATTGTGTCCTTTAGTTTTCGTTTTTTCTACAGTAATTACTTTTTATAAAAGTTTTAAACTTACATCAACAAAGTTGAAGGCAGACATTGTTCACAAATTTGAAAGTATTTATTTCCAAGTAATATTGAGTTATAGTAATAAATAGAATGTACTAACTAGATATATAACAACATTTCGGAAGATAAAAAAAAATAATTAAGAAATCTGCATTACTCTGGTGCTCTTTGAATGGAAAGAACTGCTCTCCGTCACTTTAACTTTGTTTTCGAAAGTTAAAAGCTTCCGTCGTATATTATCATGTAATTAAAATTATCTCAGTAAATTCTATTAAATCATAAAATATATTCTAATGAAAAGGAATATCGAGTAAAAACTGTAATTTTGCTGAGTCATCGTTAATAAGTTTTAAGTACTGATTTAATTTCAATCAAAACATAAAAAATAGACAAAATTGATAAAAAATGATTGACTGACCTGTATGAATATTTCGGATGATATCGTAATCAAATAACAAGTGTTCATATTATATTATCATGTTGAAATAAGACTGATATTCATGCTCACTATTGAAAAAGAACAATCTTTTATTAATAAATATTTGCATTTATCCTTTTCCACATTATAATATGATTATGCGTTCTTTTAAAATGATATTGTGCGAAATATGATTACGTTTATTTACGTAGAAACTTAGTGAATAAGACATTCGATAATTGTGTGTTGATACACTCATTGCGCCAAATAAAAAGTTTTTTTTTTTAATTAATCTTCTTAACAATAAAATGGTTTTCTTCAATAGCGAGTAACATAAGCTTTAACATAGTATTTGAATTTTCAAGTTTGGTAAATAATTAAAAAAAAAAATCGAGCTGTAACACAATAAAACACCTTTGAGAAATAAGATGTACGATTATTATAAATAGTAATTTAATAGACATTTTCTTTGATGTTACAGATTGGTGCCCTAAAAAACTTCTATCTGCTTACACACAAAGATGTACACAAACGTTCTCTGGACAGCAGCGAGCATCATCATAAACTTTTACGAAATGAGCCTCAAGTAAGTTGATTTCGATACAACTAAGCAAAGTTTGAGCAACCTCAGAGTTGGCCGAAGAGACGTCGTTGACCCGAAGTTTACCTCCCCGAATTTAATTAGATTGCACGCCCAACAAGGGCGTCCAAACTCTCATCGATCCTTTCCACAAGTGAACTTTCCCTCTACATACAACGTAACTTGAACTCATCTCATCTATTCGGCATAATTGAAGATTGGATCGCTAACGATCGATCACTTTTTATCCCAGCTACAACTCAAAACATCAAATCCTAACAAACTCTCACAACTTGTTTGTTATTTGTTTAACGTTTTCTACCGTGTTCGCTACCGGATTTGCTATCGGCAACCAGATCAAACCTTTACTACCAAACGTTGCGCCGTGTGATCTTTATCTACATTTCAGCTTGTCACTTTATTCAACTCCTTACTCTTCATATACTTGTATATTTAAATTCGTACTTTTTTACAAACAAAATCCAACGTTAACGTCGAATAATTTTTTTTATAATGGTACAAGTTGATTTAAAAGTTTTACTAGTTTTATTTTTTTCATCTGCAGTAGGATGATATGTTGGATACTTACATATATCTATTTAATACTTAATCAGATTTTAATATTTGAACACTGCATGTTTCAATGTACAAAATTTTGTGCTTTATTTATGCTATAACACAATAAAAAACATACAATATACTCAAACCGTGAACTTTTCCTCTTATTTTTTGTAATACGCTTATTAGTGTTTTAAGATAAATCCATATTTTTTTTCAAATTTATGTGAACCTTTTTCTTTCACCTTCGGTTCAAAAGTTATGTGCTTGAAAATATTTCTTTTTACAATTATTAATACAATAAAAAAAAAAATAAATAAGTGTACAAAAAAAAGTTCAAGAATATTTATAGGTCTTAAGTTCACTAAGAGGAAATTCTTTTTTTTTTAATCCAGTCTTTAGGATACTTTTATCAGGAAAAAATAAATATTCTTCCTTTTTAAAGCTTGAGACTCGAAAAATAAAAATTAATTATCATTGGACATTAACTAAATCTGTATTTTCAAATCCATCAAATGTATAAATCCATAGAATTTTAAACTTGAAATTAATTCGGTTTTTACGGTCATATAATAATTATGAAGATTTTTTTTTTAACTGATATAAACGATATCATGGAACCAAATTAATCAACCTAATCGTTAATTGTCAACTATTAATTAATAATAAGAAGTTAAACAATTTAGATTAAACATTACATTTAAACCAAAAATTGATTGTTGTATAAATAAAAACAAAAAAATTGAGATATAAATGACTATAATCTAGAGCAATATTTAGTGTACACGTCCGAGTGTCAGGCTGAAATGTGGACGATATAATACAGAAAAATCCGTATAGGAAGTGACACAATTTCACCACTAGAGATAGACAAGACTATTGTAAATTTACCTGAGTTTAAATATTTATTTCAAACAAACCAACAGTTGTATAAAGACGAATGTCAACATTTTTTATCTAAACAGTAAAAAAATGATTTTTTAATTAATTGATTCGCATTATCACACTAATTCGAACTTTCCATATATTTTACGCAAATACAAAAATAAAGTAAATATTGAAACAGTTATTTGTAACTTTAACATTTTTAATTCATCATTGTTACATACAGGATTTTTATTCCAAATTATTACTGTGTGACATCGACCCTGCTATCGGCTTACACGTTGGGTATTTCTATAAATACATAGGGGAGGGGGGGGAATGGGGTAGGGGTGGCAAAATGGGGTTGGGTACCTCCAAAATTTCGTAAAAAAAATTTTTTTTTCCAAAAAGCTCTTTTAACTTTCTAAAATATATTTTAACGTCATTTCCTACAATTTCAGAGAAAAAAAATTTTTTTAATTAAAAAACAAAAAAA